ACTGGCTTTGGGTCAGGCTTCGAAATAAAGTCAAGAGCGTATTTCCACATATCTGCTTTGCTTTGAAGCACTCCTTGCTGCAGGTGGGGGGACTGCATCTCAATTGCAGAACTTGAAACAATACCTGACTCAAGTCTGTTTCCACTCTGGGGTAAAGCAGGATTCCACATGCCAGGTTTGGGCTGGGAGACATCATTTGTATTAATCTGATATTTTGGCTGTTTTGGGGTTTGTCTGGAGTTTGAAGCAATCAATGAGCCAGGTCTGTCACTAGAAACACTTCCTTGCTGACTGTAACCTTCTCCTTGCCTCCCATAAACACCACCATGACCATGGGGATCATCTGCAACAGCCGGGTTAGAGTTCTTAGGTGAATTACTTTTAGTGCCTCCATGACCACCTGGAGAGCCTCCTGGCTGTGCAGAGCTCTCATAGCTGGACGCAGGTTTGTAGCTTTGTGGGAAATTCTCTCCCAGCTTCAAATACGGTTTAACGCCACTGGAGGGTCCACTTCTATAGCTGAGTGCTAGAGAGAGAGAAGGCATTTTAATAGTCAACACTTTTAGAAGTTACTGAATGAAGCCCAGCTTGCAGTTTGTGTGGTGTGAATGCTTACCTCTTGCATGCTGCCCCAAGGCTAACAGTGAGAGCAATAGCACCCTGATAAAAAAAGATAACATGTGAATAAAACAAACAAGATTAGTGCAGCAACATGTCCTTCAAAATACTGAAAAGTAGACTCACCTCACACAAATTCCAGATATCATTTTGTGGAATTAAACAGCTAACAGACTGTGCACTGTTAGCAGGCAAACAACAAGATGAGAAACTATTTTTTCCAGCTTCCTGTTTGCTGCTTTCACATCTGCTCTTTTTAAGTTCTGGGACCTGAGTCCACCAATCAGCACAAAGCAATCAGAGTCAGGTCTGACAGATCTTCAAGTGTTTGCACTTTAGCTAATTAACACTTCAACTGAGAACTACTCAGCTTTTCACTGCAGTTTGCAGACCTGCTTCACAAGCAAAGTTATTCATTAGGATTCTGCTGCAACACAAATACAACAGAGGTTATGATAAATTTTTAGTTCATGATGAACAAAAACTGATATAAATAAAATTAAAAGACCTGCATCAGGTCTTCCACAGACAGAGGTTTCTATCAGGAAGATTGTTGGCGCTAGATAGAAATTTAAACACAAGAAAGACAAGAAACAAAAAAGTTTATAATTTTATTAATGTATTCTTTTTTTCATGTAAAAATATAAACCAGTTTGACTGAGTTACAGACTTTGGTTGCTGCCAGAGGAGTTGTGCCATTCTTTTTAAATTAGGTTTAGGATTAACAATTAAAAACCAAGCGCGCTATTTTGTGGGTTTATATTTATGCTTAAGTATGAATAGCACACACACAGACACACACCCTCATACACATACTCAATGTTTAAAGAATGACTGGAGCAGAATTAAGTCGATCAATATTCAGCAACAGCTATTATGGTGAAGGTGTCTTTATTTGTCTCCCTTGCGAGAAATTTGTTTTAGACAGTGGGGTCTGCTGTACAGACAGCACATAGCACTCATACAACAATAACATAAGCATCCAGAATTATAAATAAATAAATAAATGTGCAGTACATCATCACATTGCTTAAAAAAACAAGTGCAATGTGAAAAAATAAATATAGACACACCCCTCACACTGTGTGGGTCTAAGTCAGGTACATGTAGTGAGTGATCTCCAGAGGCCTCATTTATCATCAGCGTGTGTACAAACATTCCTACGCAAAGTATGGAATTTATCAACTTGTACTTATACTTAGGAATGTGTGTAAATATACGCACACCTCTGACCATGCATACGCACATAATCTAGTGGTAGAACAGTGAAACTACAAATAGAAAGCATTTGGGGATTTTGACCACCGACACATTCCAGCGTGAGGTTGGAGACATATGCAGTGTTTCCCAGCCACCACTGAGCAGGATCATGCAGGCAGTGTTGGATGCCATAACTCCTCTGGCCTCAGCCTACATCCAGTTCCCGTACAGGCATCACCAACAAGCCCAAATCAAACGGGGACTTATCGGCGTCGCTGGATTCCCAAACATAAGTGGAGCCACAGACTGCACCCACATCGCATTCAAAGCACCGTCACAAATGAATTTAATTTTGTAAATAGAAAAGGGTTTCATTCAATCAATGTACAGATAATTTGTGATGCACATTTCTCACTATCCAACGTTGTTGCCCGGTGGCTTGGAGGAACGCGACTCATTCATTGAGCAGAACAGCTCTGTGGATCTCCAAGCAGGAGCTGCTGAAGATGGCTGGCTTATTGGTGAGTGTCACAGAGTGAGGAAATGTTTTAGCTGGACTTTGTTTGGTTATTAAAACATGTCATCTGTAGTGATCAGGGTTATCCGCTGCGTGAACGTTCAGTATTAATTCGTCCTCCTCCAGTTGCAGTCAGTTGTCTTGTATGGGCTGTGATGCATTTTTTGGCAGTGAGGCTACTTTAGTGGACTTAACAATACAATCCTAAGTAACATAAGCTTGCATAGCTTCATAGTCCAATTCAAAAGCTGAAAAAAACCTCCCGATTAAACAGCTAAATACGGCCTTCTGATGGGCTTTGGCTCCTATCATGTGTTTTACATGTGGGCGCATGTGTTAAAAAAAATGCACTGAATTCCATCTTTGCATTGCTTGAGAGAAAAAAAGACACAGCTGACAGAGCTTACGTTTTTATTAAACATCATACTTTTACACTAATTTCATGCAAACACTGTTAGATTGCACATCACCAGAATACAGAGAAACTTCATGCCATGCAGTTATGAAAAAACATCATCACCATCATCATCATATCTGGATTTTTTTTGCATCTCCTCCCTCAGAGCTGCACTGAAATCACGATCCACATTTAATGCACATTATTTTCCCTGATGCTAATCAGCTCGGATACAGAAAATATATACAATTATTGAAACATGCTGTTATGTTAACAGAAAAAAAAGGATTTTGAGAGTCACTGTGCTTCCAAAAATTGGGCTTCAAAGACAAATCAGTCATGCATGAAGAAAGATTAAATGAGAAAGAGGGGAGGAAAAAGTAAAAAAGCACAATGCAATAGAACAAAGGGAAAATAAACAGTAAGATTGATAGAAGATATAAATAAAAGAGAACACAGGAATCAGGTGTGAAAGGAGAGAAAAGAAAGCCAGCCAGGTGAATGCTGCCAGGCTCTGTTAGCTGGGTCTGAGGCCGAGGCACAGAGCCAGCTCGTTCTTCTGGATCTTTCCGTCTCCGTTGATGTCGCAGTGACCCATCAGGGCTTTTCTGAACTTGTCCAGGTCTGTTCCGCTGATGCTGGGCTGCAGGGGGGGTTGGAGACAGGTAGTTACTCAATAAATGACAAGTAAAGATCTATTTAAATGGAAAACACTTGTACTATGAAGGCTGCTGTTAATGTAACACAGAACTTACTGTAGCTGTTACAACAAAAGTCTTTCATGACTGTGTTTAATGGGATTCTTATCAAGAAAAAAAAAAAAAAGATAAATTATAAATCTTCACTAGCAGGTCTCAAATAAAGGCTTGGTTCTCCAAAATAAAGTGATGGTATTTGTTTTTAGCCATGTAGCTGGTATAGTCAGTCTATCTGATGGATTTCCTTTAAGTTTTTGTATTCTCATGGAATCCAGGTTCCAGGAGCCTGAAAATCCCAGCTTTACTCCATATCATTTTAACTTTGTTAGGAGTTTCCACCACTGAAGTGCAGTGATCATCATGATGGGTCCACTGACTTAACCCTGTGATGTCAACTGTATTATATTTGATACATGAGACTTCTGCATTATCAGTGTGATATTTTTTTTTTGCCTGAAAAATGTATACAATCAGACTCATTCAGTGCACACATGATCCACCACAGATCGAAATTCATTGATTCAAAAATGCCGGATGTAGCAAAAATGATACAAATTAAAACTCATACATGAAAATCGCTATTTAATTGTCAGAAGGTTCAATAATTTAAAAAAATAAAAATAAAAAAAATAGAATTTTCTGGCAATTATTTCATGGTTCAGGCTTCACAGGGTTTAAGAGGGTCTCAGTGTCCAAATCTAGTTCAAGACCTTTTCGAATCACTGAGGAAATAAAATCAGAACTAACATCCTGCAAACTTATTTAAGACGACTGATTCTGACCTTCACCAGCTCCATCATATCCTTGACAAATCCATCCACCTCCGGGCCCTCCAGTGCACCAGTTTTACTCTGTTCACACAAATACACACACATAAAGGTAATAATCTTATTAAAATCTCTGCAAAAACTGCATGCTAGAATTTAAATGCTAAAACCTGCATTTTCCTTTGTGGGCAGGGGGGCTGCATCCCTGTGTTTTTAATGTATACCTGCACATACTTGGTTCTCTGATTGCAACAGCAGAGGAAAATCCCAACACAAGTAAGCACAATACTCTCAAACACGTTATATGAAATGACTGACAGCGCACATCTAATTGCATCTCCAATATTCCAGTTATATACGCAGGTTATGGTATAAATAATGTCATTTTTAAAATGTTATTGTTTTAAACCAGCTCCACAATGCATAAAGGACAATCAATCAAATAATATTTGGTAGGAAAACATAAACCATAATAAATAATAAAATGTTATTAATATAGATAATTAAATATCTGGACTTACAACATCATAGTGAGCAAATATCTTCTCAAAGTCCCTCTTTCTGTCCTCCTGACTGCAGGCCTGCAACCACAACGAAACACTGAAAACCTGAATCAAATTCCACCAAACATCTCCATGAAAACAAGCTGAATATACATAAAAGCATGAAAAAGGAGACATTTGTAAATTTGTGTCTCTTTTTCTTTGTCCAGTTGATTCTTTCAGCGTTCCAAATACAACATCCTAAAACATCTCAACAAATCTTCCAACTTACATCCATCTTAAACTTCAGTAAGAAGTTTTCTTTCAGGGCCAAAATTCTGGAGAAAAGAAACAAATGCAAGTCAACGGGACAACATGCAAACTGTATTCATATGCAGGTGAGTTTTATGATACAGCAGCCAGGAGCAGATCAGATGGGGAAAAATATTACAAAACCCAATGCAGGGTTTCTTCAGTATAAAAGATCACGCTGACACAAAATGATGACAAAGAAAGTCAACATGAAAACAGCGAAACAACCATAAAGAGACTTTTGTTCATTTTGCATCTGTCATGGTTATGTTGAGTCTCTTTATGGTCAAAATGCCTACAACGGTGCACAAAATTAGTACATAGAGACACAAAACAACCACAAAACTATTATGCAAAGACTCAAAACAACTACGAAGAGATTCAAAGTGACCATAAAGAGACATAGAAGGACCACAGAGGACAAAAAATGATCACAAAGATACACAAAAGGATCACAGAGAGACACAAAATGACCATAAAGAGACACAGAAGGACCACAGAGACTCAAAACGACCACAAAAAGACACAAAAATGATTACAAAGAGAGACAAAACAACTACAAAAGACACAAAACGATTACAAAGAAACTCAAATCATTGACACAAAGCTGCACAAAACGATTCCAAAGAGACTCAAAACAACCAAAGAGACTTAAAACAATGACAACATGCTCAACATGATTACAAAGAGACACAAAAGGATCACAAAGAGACTGAAACAAGCAGCAAAAGAAAAAGCCCCACAGACACCCTGTCACCACCCTCCTGCTGGTCACCTGACACGGATGGACAGTACCTGGCCAGGTCGTTTAGGTCCAGTCTGCCGTCTCTGTTTTTGTCAAACATCTTCATCTACAGCAGAGAAAAGTCAGAGTGAAGTTATCTGTCAGTGATGAGCAGCAGTGAGCAGCATCCTCCAGCTCCTCCCTCCTGCCTGTTACCATGGTGTCGGTGTACTCCTCCAGCTTGTCAGCGGTGACGGACTTCTTGTGCTGGAGGAACAGGTCCTGAAGGAAGCCCTGCAGGGACACAAGACCCATATGTCTCAAAAGGTTGAGGGTTGGTGCAGTTGTAAATCGTAAGCTGATTTCTACCAGTGTCTAAAGGCTTTTAAAATGTTCTCTAAACAGTTCTGTTACTTGCTTTCATAGAAAAACAGCCAACAATGTGATAAAGTGACATAAAACAGAAACAAACATTCACAAACTGTCCAAAAAGAGACCTAAAATGACCACAAAGACACTTAAAACGATCACAAAGAGACACAAAATGTCTCCAAAGAAACCCAAATTGCCAATAAAGAGACACAGAATTATGACAAAGACATACATAAAGACAACAAAGACACACAAAATGACTACAAAGCAACTGAAATGACCACAAGGAGACACGGAATGGCCATAAAGAGACACCAAATGATAACAAAGAGACACAAAATCATAGCAAAGAGATACATGGACATACAAAATGACCACATAGAAACTCAAATGACCACAAGGAGACATGGAATGGCAATAAAAAAAGACTCAAAATGACCACAGACGTAAAATGTTTACAAAGAGACATAAAATGAACACAAAGATACACAAATGACCACAATGAGAGACAAAATGATCATAAAGAGATACAAAACGGCAACAAAATGCCTCAAAATGTCCATAAAGAGCCACAAAATTATCCTAAAGAGACAAAATGACCACAAAGAGACACAAAATGATCACAAAGAGACACAAAATTATAACAAATTGACACAAAGAGACACACAAAGCAATTGCAAAGATGCTCAAACGACCACGAGATATGAAATGACCAGAAAGAGACTCAAAACAACCACAGCCCGACTACAAAGATCCACTTTTTAAATCTTATCTGAACAAGTATGTTGCTTCCAACACTCCAGTCACTCAAGTAAATGAAATGTACTTATTGAGTCTAAACTAGAGGTTTGGAAACAATCCTTAGGGACTTCGAACATCGTTCCACCAAACCTCCATTCCTTCCGTTCTGATGGATTAATACAGACAAAACCAGACCAGAGGAGCAGACGGTATATTTTTATGACGACACTCTGAGTTAAAACATGTTTGTGTGAATCAGTTACCTTGAGCTCGATGGCTGAGATGTAGCCGCTATTGTCTGTGTCGTAGTTTCTCCAGATCTAAAAAGAAGAACAAGACAAATCATCGGTCTTTAATTTTGTCTTGAAAGTGGAGCTCAAGACATCTCATGCAGGTTCATGTGAAGTTTTATATTTCAGCCTGATAAGTCACATTTACTGTGTACATACAGAAACTCTGACCCAACAGAGGTGAGTCGTCCACAAAACATGAGGACAATTGTGATTCTTATCCTTCATACCTCTGATCCGTCCAATCAGAGGCCTCCTGCAGCGAGGTCTGTTATCACAGTTTTAAATAGTTGTTTGTTCAATAATAATAATGATGATGATGATGATGATGATGATGATGATGATGATAGTAATAATAATAATAATAATAATAATAATAACAATAATAATAAATCCAATTAAGGATTTCAATTCAGTTAAGCTCCAGAGTGTGTTTGCTCATTTCAGTATATTTTTTATTGTATAAAAATGTTTCGGTATACTTTAAAGACCAATACTAAAGACATTTCCTGTATATTTCTATTTTAGTTTAGTTAGATTTCTAAGATTATCGTTAGTCTAGTGAAGTTTTCATTTATGTATATTTTATCGATCCATTCATCTTCTGCCACTGTCCTCTTGGCAGTAGGCTAAGCAAGTCATTCCAGATGTTCCCGTCTCTAGCCATGTTTTCCATTTCCTCCTGGAGGGTCCTGAGGTGTTCCCAGGTCAGATGAGACATATATTCCTTCCAGAGAGTTCTGGGTCTACCTTGGGGTCTCCTTCCAGTTTTCATGTCCACAAAACCTCCACATTCGGATCAGATAAACCAAGTCAGCTCTATCTCTATCTCTAAGTGTCCCAAGAGGATGCAGCAGCCAGAACCTTTATTTCATTCTTCTTATGTGCGTTAACTATGGGGACAATGAGCCCAGACATCCAGCCTTCAAGAACCATCTTCAGCCTCAAGAAGAACAAGGAGTTAGTTCCCTCCGACTCTCACCCTCATAAACTCCACACTGCTGTCCAGCGGCGTCTCCCGGCGGAACAACAGCAGGAAGTTCTCGTCCTCAGGCAGCATCATGGTGGCCAACTGCAACGAGATGATTTAAGATTTCACTTTCAATACACATCCAGTTGGCTGTCGTGTCAGTGAAGCTGAAGTACACACGCTATTTTTTTTATTTTTTTTTGCACTTCATGCTTACTGAAGTGCTGCTTCCTCTTCATGTGGTAGAAAGCATTTACACAAAGAGCACAAAGACTCTGACGTTGTCATCGTACCTCTTGGATCTGCAGACGTCCGTCAGCTGTAGCGTCATAAGCTGACATGAATCTTTCTCTCATTCTTTGGATTTTGTCCTCAGTTATCTCCTCCTCCTGAAAACAAGCATGAACAAGAGTCAGCATGTGATTTGTCACTGTAAGGAAGTGTTTTATATAAAGGTTTTCTGCCTAGAATGGTTGAAAGTCAGATGCTGGGAATGAAACAGGCTTCCATACAGCCAACAGCTGATTGTGCTGTTTCCATAGAAGTGCAGGACTTCATGGTAAATGGACTGCACTTATACAATGCTTTTCTACCTTAGCGGCACTCAAAGCGCTTTACAGTGTTGTCTCATTCACCTATTCACACACACACATCCATACACCAATGGCGACAGAGCTTTATCCATCCATCCATTATCTATACATCACTTAATCCTCACTAGGGTCGCGGGGGCAGGACTTTACAATGCAGTGAAAAATGAGTAAAAATGAAGAAAAACTCTCAGAAGCTGCCTGGAGTTTAGAAGGTAAAAGTTGTAGTAATTTCCAGCACTGCAAGTTTGATTGTTTTTAAGTGAAGAATGAGAACATTTCTGGCTTTGGCGGCCTCTAGTGGAGCCACTGGTGCACTCTGAGCTGAGCTGGACACTCAAATATCTAAATTCTTCAGCAAACAAACAAACTTGTACGACGTAATCCTCTTAATAACCCTGCAGACACGTGAGCTGAAGTGTTGGCTGGTAAGAAGCTGCAGCTCTGATGATCCGACGCTTCACCGACTGGCTGATCTTTACCTTCAACCCAAGTTTTTGCAACATGTGCTGAAAGAAGGCGTCCAGCTCCTTCCCTTCGATGTAGCCGTTATCTGAAACACACACAGGATGCAACAGAGTGTAAGACGTGACACCTCCACTGTCATTAAACAGCACTTACGTACCGGTGGATTTGTGTGCTTTCACCTTTCGCCTCTAAAAACAACAGTGTGAATTGTGTTTTTCTATGATAAGAAATAAACTGATAAGCTTTTATTATTCTACTTGAGCTGAGCAGCAGCCAGACAGGCGACAGAATCAACCTGCTGCAGCTGGATGGTTCAACCATCGCCTCATTTACTGCCAAGTATTCATTTTATTTAAAGCAGAAAAAAACCTTGTCGTTGTAAGTCTCCATCCATAACATTTAAATACATACGTGAAAAAAAAAAAAATCTGTAATTTGAAGAATTTTACCATTTTATTTTACAGATTGTTTTTGTATATTTTAAACACACAAAATCAGTAATATTTTTTTTAAAAAAGGCTGTTTATTTGCATTTCCAATTAAATTAAAAACCTGTAACTGAATAATCACAAAATGTTATTTTTTTAAAGAGAAAATGTATTTTTTACCATAAAAACATAAAAATACATGAGCAAATATATTTGAATTATTAAAATAACATTTCACTTTTTTCATATTTTATACATGAAATGATTAATTTCAAGTTTAATACTGTAAATATATTTCTAATATTAGATACAACTACTGACAGTTAACAGGCAGGGAAGTATTGGTTTTGTAATTTTAAAGATATTATTAAATATTACAGGTAATTATGTTAGGTTTGGTGCCACTGCTGAGAAAATAATACATAATTAATAATGATATTAATATAATGTTTAATTGGAAAAAAAATATTTTTTATTCATTCCGTGTGTGAAACTAATAAATTTAAGTTTAATACTGTAAATATATTTTAAAAATTAGATTCAATTACTAACATGTAAGAGTTAGACAAGCATTGGTTCTTTAATTTCACATTTCACTAATTCCAATATAATTATATAATATAGGTCATTCTGTTTACTAATGTTTGGTGCCACAGCGGCTGGAGTATTACATTTGTTGTCTTTAATGGTTTTTTATTTTTGTCTTTATTTTTTATTTTTAAAACCAGAGATCTTAAATTGCAATTCACATCTTTCCTTCTGTTCCTGAGAGTTGCTGAAGGACATGTTTACATGTAACTATATTCAATCTGGTGTCTCACCAAGCAAAGTTGTGTTTCAATTCTATTTTTCACACAACAACTACAAAAAGCAGCGACTTCAATCACAAAAACATGAAATAATGAAGCTTTAAAGTCTCAACATGAGCTCAGTTTGCTTCAACTCTCTTTTTAAAAGGTGCATCAAACCTGAGGCTGACTCTAGTTTAAAATGTGAGAACAGCTGTGAGGCTGTGTGCTATGTTTTATAGTCATATCTCCTCCTGTGAGCTTTACAAAGTAGATTTCCTTTCACTTTAAAAGACAACCTTGAGAATGGCATATTAGGTTTGGTTTTAATAGCTGGACATCTGAACACATCTTGAAGATGTCTCTTAAAAAAATGCGTCTCTGAACTCACAGTTGCCAGTTCACATCATAAAACTGCATTAAACTGCATTATTTAGCTCACATGGTGGATTTGCTGAGTAAATTTACTGGCTTAAGAGCTGCTAGAAATCTTCTCTTCTCACCGTCGACGTCAAAGTGTTGCCAGATCTGTAGGAAACCTGCAGCGTCCAGACTGTCCAAGGTGCTGTCCATGGTGCTGGAGAGAAAACGACGAAGGACAAAGCTTGTTTCAGACAGAGACGATGTTTTATCCACAGAAAATCTGCTCAGATGAGCCTTAAGGGACTCGACTGCTGTATATGAAGGGAGGAGGAGGAGAGGCAATACAATAGAGAGATAGAGGGAGAGAGAGAGGGAGAGGGAGACCAGTAAAACAGGATTTATTGGTATCAACATACAAACAGAAATATTTGACAGCTTAATGTCACATTTTCAGGCTGACATATACACAATAAAACACATTATTTATGTGAATTAAAAAAAACAAACAAAAAAACATATATTTTTTTTTTATAAAAGTGACAAAAATATTCTCCCCATAAAAAGAAAACCCACCACCGTTTATCTTAAATGAAAATAAATGCAGCTTCAACGTCACGTTTCACTCCATAAATCAGACTTTGCTGCTCATCGTACAATATAAACCCACATATAGTTTCTGTATTTACCTCTGATATAAACCCCATTTATTCTATAAACAGAAACACACGTTAGTACATATTTACATGGATACAGCGGTAAGTGCAGCACTACAACATGAACACAGATCAGTACGTAAGGAGGCGTGTTACTGTGAGCAGCAGCAGCAGCAGCAGCAGGGCTCATAGCTGACTTAATCTGACACCACCAACGTTAGATTTTATATTGTAAGTGCAGGGTTTGACATGTCTTGATGTCCTCAGAGGAGCATCAGCTGATCTCCAGGTTTAAGGCTCGTTCACATCATGAAGGACGGGTGCAGCAGCGACGAAAAAGACTCATTCAAGACGCAAACATTGAACGTGGGCTGAAGGTGAAGCTCTGAAAAGAAATGTTAATTAACTATGAGCCACTAGTTTAGATGTATGAGATCTTTCAAGAAAATCTGAGCTTTCTGGTTGGATATTGGATTGCCTGTTGATGTTAAGCGGTATTTAGGAGATTAAAAAAAAATAAATTTTAAATAATCATCAGCTGTTTTGCTATTTAATAAGTTTAAGTCATTTTTTAAACAAAGAAAGTAAAAAACTCTCAGACTGCTGCATCTCAAATGTGAATATTTTCTGTTTTTTCCCTCTTCTATGACAGTAAACTGAATATCTGTGGACCAATCATGCCATTTCACGATGCTATTTGGGCTCTTAAGAACCACTATTTGTCATTTTTCATCATTTTCTGACATCTGCTTAAAGGACTAATCAATGAATCCAGTAATTAATTGATAGATTCACCAGCAATGAAAATAATAGTCTATCAGATCTTATATTTACAAGTCAGAAACAGTTTTCACAGTAACGAGAACAAACTGTCTCTGTAGCTCAGGCTGTGGACTGTAAGACTTTGTATAGCTTATTGTCTTTCAATGTGTGGACAAACATGGGCTTCATATTATATAGTATGCCAGAAAAAATGCAGTATGTCAAACGTAGTAATCCAAAAATAACCAAATGTTCCATGACATGCAGGTCGTATTTCAAAGTCTGACCCACAATCCTCTGTTACGTTACATACGCTGCATATAAACAAGCTCAAGTCACTGATAACATACAGATGGCAGCTCCTTTTAACGCTACAGACTGCGACGGTCAAAGTTTAAGGTGCATTTTTGTGACAAAGTTTGTTCCAACTGTATGCACATTTTAAGCACTTTCTGAGGGCGGCTGTTGTACATAAAGTTAAAAGATAAATTGTGTGATTTTGGAATGCAGATCAGGTTTGTCAGTGAAGTTTTGAGAATCAAACCTGCAGTGCAGAACTTCTGTCTCCCCCTTCTGGCTGTGAGACTAACTACATAAACACAGGCTCATGCGTCAGTGTTGATCTCTTTCTTTTTCAGACTGTCCTCTGTCCTCTGAAAATTCTTTCCTATCCGGAGCATCAACAACTTTTCTTGGATGCTGTCTTGGTTTCATAGTTAGTGTAGCTCCTCCGTCTCAGGAATGTCACCACAGAAACCAGATTTCAAACTCTGCTATACTGTAAAATAAAAAACATATATATATACCAGCATTGTGTGTAATAATTTGGCTTGAATGTAAAAGGCATGGACTTATGTGTTAAAGTCCCGCACTGCAGCTTTAATTTTCCTTGACATTCACTTAATTCTCCGTTATTTAAAGACACAAACATCTGCAAAATTCCTAAATAAAGCTAAACTGAAAAGAGAACATGAGGAATAATCTTAACCCAACAGGCGGATCTGAATCTAGAAAAAGACAATATTTTTTTTACAGTGTGAGTAACAAAGCAAAGGTTCAGTGTTTTGTTAAGAAGCTAGTAGTCAGAGTTCATACTGGAAGATTTTCTAATGACGGACATAAACCTCGCAAAGCCCTGATTAGAGACGTTAGAGAGTATTTCATTATATTTTATAAGGTTAAACGTCTTGGCATTTCTGGTTAAAGCTAGAAAGAACATCTTTGCTGTTGCCTTGAAGTGAAGCAACCCCTTCAGAAGTGTTCGACTCATCAGGCTAGCATAGTTGGTTATAATGTTGATGCCGCAAAAGTGGACGCTTGTTGTGTTTCAGGACATTTCTGCTCTCAGCTGCTTCGAATTTTTGGTATTTTCCAATTCGTTGATGAGTGAATCTTTGTTTCCAGGCGTCCTGCTGGTAGAGATCACTGAAGTACCAGCTACAGTTTACCTGCACAACAGACCGGAAACCAAACAGCTGCAGTCTGGACCTGCTTATGGCTGAAAACAAGTCAGACTCGTTCTCCTAAGTGCTCTGGACTGAGAGAGCTTTTTACAGCTGGACATGTTTATCTGAGCAACCAGGCATTGTCTCTGCACCAGATAAAGCCCATCTGCTCTGCTCTTTATGGTCCTATTTAAACTGTTTACAGAGACAGTAATGGAGTTGTTTTGGCGTCCACTTGGCCAAACAGCTGGGACTGATTCAAGAGCAAGAAACTCCATCGATACCAGCAGGACAAAAAAAAACCAAAACAAAACAGAACAGTATCTGCTGTGCTTAGATGTTGTCTGAAAAAAAAAACAACAACAACAAAAAAAAGAAATCATCTCTGGAGTCTCTGGGGTTTGTGAGTGACCTCCTGAAAAGTTTATCGGACGTAGAAAGGACCAACAAGCAGGAGACATATTGTTGCTGTCAGACTGAAGGAACGTCATCACTGGAACCATCTTCTGATTTGTTGTCAGACTTCAGATCAGCGGAAGACGTCGGGCTTTCTTCCTCAGCTGGACTGACATCTGTGTCTGCCACAGATGGAGGCTTTACTGTAGAGAGACAAAGAAAGGCAGAAAATAAAGACAAAGAAAGACAAAGAATGAGGCAGAAACACCACAACCTCAAAATCCCAAATACTAAAACTGAATTTACAAGTGAAGTGAAGCTAAAGTTGGAAAACTAATCAAGACTGATACTAAAAAATAAAGCTTGAGTATGGAGAATTAAGACTCTGTGAGGGCTTTAGAACTAGACAACTCCAGCTGAAGCCTTCTTCCTTTGCCCACACTGGTAATGTTTGACATGCAGAACACTTTAACAGTATTTCTATGAATTTGCTAAATACAAGAAAATGCATAAAAGGCTAAATATCAGTGAGACATTGGGGAGTTTAAAGAGCTCATATTTTGCAATGTAACAGGTTTAGAATTCTATTTTTCGGCTCCACTAAAATATGTTCACAGGGTTTGAACCACAAAAGCTGCCAAGAGGTTTGAAAAGCATGTTAGATTAAAAACAGAGAAAAGAAAAGCCCAATGACATCATTTATTAGCCAGACATGAAAGAAATACTTATCAGATTTTTAACGATCTGACTCGTCCTTGTCTGAACTACTCATCTGTGGCATGCCATTCTACCAGAAAATTTGACCAAATCTAAGCTTAAAATGAAGATATTTAATCAAAATCAGTTTGTTTGACGATTTAAAACAAGATTCTGTAAAAACAAAAAAAAGGACCTATTCAGTACATCTGTGAAGCCAAACCTGACTCAGCTGTGGCAAACAGCAATGTGACAAAAATTCAGGGACCTTTCAGATGAACTGCAGGCAGTGTTTACTCAGAGCACAGACAGGAAACAGATGAAACATGTATATATGTATGCAGAGCACACCATTCTATTTTCCAGGATTGATAACAACTGTGGGCAAAAGATTCCATGTTTTTAAAAAATTGTAAAATAAATAAATACAGAAATTCTACTTATGTTTTTTCTAATTTTTATTTTTAATGATATATTGCATTCTAACTTTTTTATGCTGCACAGAAAACACTGCACAGCTGAATCTCTTGTGGTTGCGACAAGGAGCGCAGAATTTATTTATTTATTTTTTCACAATCTGATAAGAGCTAACGATTTATATTTTTGGCAAATGTTTTAAACGAGACGTGGAATGATGAAATATTGTAATTCTAAGCTCAACATTTTGTCTGACGGATGAATAATTAAAGGAAAAGTTGAAAAGCAAACGATTCTCTCGGTTTTTACAGTTTCTGGGTTAAATGACACCGTTATTGAGCCACTTTAATATCACAAATTGTTTTTACTTTGTTGGCATTTAGACAGAGACTGAAAATCTAGGCTGGTCGAACCGTAGGCAGGGAGGGACTTGGCTCGCTCTCGTTCGTCCTCCTTGGTGGCAGCAGGAGGACTGGATGAACCTTTCAGAGACGACCACTGTCTGCCGCCAGCCTCGGTTCCTGACGCACCGGGAGGCTCAAATGCATCTCCATCTGCAGGAAACTCAGCTGCAGGAAGAAGAGGAGGAGATATGATCAAACTCTGTCCTTCAGCAACACTTCAGTCAAAGCAGACACTGATTGTACAAAGTCAGTCCTCTCTGTGTCACGGGTTCGTTTCACAGTTTGGACCTGGAAGCAACTGGGACTGAGAGGAGATAAAAACGAACAATTAGAAAAACATGTTAAAATGTTATGCAAAGGTTTGTATTCAAGAGGGATGTTTCAGGTCTGAAATGTATGTAACACATAAATAAAGAACCTCACCCACACTCACATCAGAATATAAAAATAAATTCTCTTCCTGCTGCTTTTGTCCTTGGTGATGGAGGTTTCAAGTGCTTCTACAGATAAAATACTCAATTCAAATCAAAATGATTCATTCACAACTCATGGAGATATTTGGCTTACAGATGAAACCAGAAGTTTACATACACGAAGAAAGTAATAGAAAATTCTCTAAAAGATTCTCTCTCATTATTCTGGCATTTAGCAAATAGAAATAAGTCTGGTAATCCTAACTGACCCAAAACAGTAAAAGTTTAGTCTGATTTAATGTCAGACAGTGAGAAAAAACCCCCCCAAAACATTGTGTCTTTTTATGCAGTGTATGTAAACTTCTGGTTTCAACTGTGTATGTAACCAGATTTTAGAAAACCAGCTCTGAAGACAATGTAAGGCAGAGCAGGAAATGTTCATGTAACACTTAAAATAAAACTAGGCTCATTAAGGTCTGTGTGTAATGTGAAATTAACGCCTCTTGAAATGTGTAAATTACCTTTTCTTCCTGTCTGACTTTTAAATCACAACTTTCTGCATGACAATAAAAACACAGAAAACCCCCACTGTTTCCTCTAAGTGTTAATTACAAAACTAGAGCATCAAACTACAAAATCCACCCACACATGGTGACATCAGGTCCAGGCTGGGATTAAATGCTCTCAGTGTGGTGGGTTTTTGCTTCTGCTGCGTTGTGCGTGGAATATGCGGCCTTGAAAGCATTCATTAAACAAGTTGTCACCTGTTAAATTAAGTGCTACATTTTTAGCTCTGGTTCATGAGTCACGAGGCCTTCATCGCAAAGAAAGAACATATTATAAGGAAGTATCTGATCAGCTGCGGCTGTCTGTTGACCTGAGGGCTCCAAACATGACTAATGGGAGAGAAAAGAAGAAGAAACAAAGTGCAGATACACAAATCTGCCTTAGGTTTTTGCTCAGATGTTGGATCATTGTACTTTTTTTTTTTTTTAAATTAAGCCATGTGAGACCTTTAGAGGAACAAAATCTATATAAGCAACTCAGACATCTAAAATGTGATGTGACTGCACACTTATTTTAGTAAGAAGACACAAAGGTTGAAACTCATTGGTTTAACATGTAACTATGTGTCTTACTTTAACTGTTTGAACCCCCAAAGCCACCTCTGGCTTTAAAAAGCACTTTGAAGAAATCACTTGTCAGAACCAGCGATTGTTAAACATGAAGTGTCGGCTTTTCCACATTTCTGACAGTTCACAGACTAAACTTTTAAGACGTAGGTCTGTCCGGAAAATGTATAAAATCTATGCGTAACGTATCATTTAAAAACTTGCCAAAATAGACAATTTGCACTTGACTGAGTCGACTAAAAATCAGAACTGATAAGCCAGTAATAAGTCAGTTGCTTCCCAGCAAAACAACAGCTACTTTCGATTGAATGGCAGGCAGTGTTCACATAGAACAGAGAAAAGACAAGTATGAAAACAAATTTAGAATGTAAGTAGTAAAATATCTGTAGTATGAAGAGCCAACATTTGTCCCCCGTAATGGAAGAATGTTGTTCATGTTGATTCATTTTTTTTCCCCCCACATTTTTGTAAAATAAATAATAAAAGAAATTCTACTTTCGTCTTTTTTTTTCCCTCACAATTTGCGGAATTATAACTGTGTCATGCTGCACAGAAGACATTATCGAGTTCTCTCTACTTCTAGTCACGGTTGTGCTGTTTCCATAGAGGTGCTGGACTTTTTATTGCAATGAAAAATGAGCCCAAGGTGAGTTAAAAAAAAAAAAACAAGTAAAAAGACAAGTAAAGTGGTAGGAACCAAAAAAAAAAAAAGCACAGAAACTGCTCAGAGTTCACAGGTTTAAAAGCTTGTTATATGTTATTGTGTCAAATCTACATCTTAAAAATAACTAAAGCCGTCAGATTAGTGCAATATTTCCCTCTGAAATGTGGCGAAATGGAAGGATAACGTGACATTTAAGGGAAATACTCAAGTGAAGTACAAATATATGACTGTACTACTGCTGCTACTGTTCTGGTACTGAAGATCAGACGCAGTGGATACGCACCATCCAGAGGAGACAGCGGTCCTGTAGGGTTACTGCTGGTGCTTTCTCGCTCTTGGTCTGATGGCGCCCTCTTCAGGCGAGGAGCGGGCAGCGGTCCTTTGGGCGAAGAGCCACCTGTTGGAGCCTCAGGAGAATCATCTGAGACACAGATGCCAAATAAACAACTGATTGATTTATTCTTAAAATCACATAAACGGAACTTTTGAAATAAGGACAGCCTCGCCTCCCTGTTGGCCCTACAGTTGATATCAAAAGTCCCCACTCACCTTGGACGTAGGCGCTGCTTGGCCTGGGACTCGTTGGACTGAGGGCTCCAGCGGGACGGGAGGCTACTTGGGGTGGTGGTGGTTTGGGTGTGATGCTTGGTGGTTTGGACCTGGGAGTCGGCTCTGGTCTGGACTCCTCGGCGTCTGCTGGGACGTCTGACTTGGCTGCAGGAAAATGAAAAAAGCAGAGATCTCATCCCTGATCCGACGGTCTTTTTTTGCTCAAATAGTGTGATAACTGCCGATTATGAACTGTCAACTGATAACTTTGGAAACCTACAAGTGTCATGTTTTCAAGGTATTTAACAACCTCTAACAGAGGTCCACAGGTAACACAGACCTTTGTCACCGTCCACCTTGTCCAGTAATGATGATGACTCATGCTAAAAACAGAGAGAAAGGGAGCTTTTATTAAAATAGAGGTCATTGAATGTACACAATCTGGCACAGTTGGTATATTATACAGATTCACAGACATAAACCCACAGACCTTCTTTCCAGCCCTTCTCTCCTGCCTGGCTTTCATCTCAGCCAGCAGGTCCATTCCCATCACAGGAACCCCAATGTGACGGGGTATGTGGGGGTTCTCCTTCTTCTCTGGGTTCTCCAGGTTCTCCTTACTCTCCACAAGTTTCTCCTCTTTCTCCTCCTCAGCAGGTTCGGCGGCGGTCGCAGACGTCTCCATCTCAGAATCTGTGTGGTTCGAAGATGGAGCCCTGTGGAGCTCCTGATGAGGCTCTGCCACAGTAGCAGGGATTTTCACTGGTGGAGTCGGTGACGTCGGTGGAGTCTCCTCAGGCAATGAAGGTGCAGCGGTGGTGGATGAAGAAGGTTGAGATGGGGTTATGGAGGCAGTTCCGTGGCTCTTCTCTGACCGCGACGCTCGGGATTTGATGAGGTTGAAGAAGCCGCTCTTCCTGGATTCACGTTTCTTATCCGTTGCTTCCTGCGTGCTGGAGGACGACCCTTTCACAGAGGGAAGTCTGGGGAAGGTCAAAATGATACCAGAGAAAAGAAGCAAATTTTTTTTAGCCTGACAAGCCAAACAAAGTCTTCACATTGTAAAAAAAAAAAGAAACTTCTAGTGACGTTTTTATGCCAATGACACTCAACTGTTCTTCACTTTCAATAAAACTGATCTGGGGAGATGATCTATGTAAATTTATGTGTCTTCACATCTACAGTTTAAAGCATGAGCCTCACTTGAAGCTGAGTTTGATGACTTTCTTGGAGAAGAAGTCATCCAGGCCCTCATCCAGCTTTCCCATGACGCTGTTCTGCTCCGTTTCCTGTCCTGCCGAGCCACCAGTGGCCGCCCGCTGAAAGACAGACGCAGGAATTAAGCAAAAGACAAACACAGAGATGGATGACGTATCTAGTGAATGATATTATCAGAAAATATATGAAGTCTTGAGGTCGTGTCTCACAGAATACCTCGAAGGACTAGGAGAAACCCAGATCCCCTCAATGACTACCAGAGTCAAGACCACAAAACGGATATTTTTCTACATTTAACCCATGAGCCCCAAGCAGTTTGTCAAAATCTTTTGCTCCCGTCACATTTTTCCTCACTATGGGCTCATTTTTTATCTGCAACATAAAGTCCAGCACCTCGATGGAAACAGAATAACCACGACTAGAAGGAGAGGGAATTCAGAAATGGCCTGAATCTGACAATTATTTCTGTTTTTACAGTTTCTCGTTGTAATAAATGGTGAAATTGTGCCAATTTTTGAACAATGACATGAGTTTTAAAGCTGCTGGCAGGTTTTGGGGTTCGGAGGGTTCAGACAAAGTTGCACTTCTACCATGCTGTATGTGAAATGCATGCTGATAGTCAGACTTAAATATTTTTTTGCTACTGGACACCTACAGGTGATCGAGTGGGTTTTGTCCTCTTCTTGGGTTTTGGGCGGAATTTGGTGCGATGTTCCAGCATCTTGTGCTCCGCCGATGGCAGCTCGCCCAAACACACAGGTTTTGTATCCAGTGGAGGAGGTGGTGGGGGGAGGTCTCCGTAGCGCACTGACATTCTGTCCAACGGCTTCGAAGAGGCAGGAGGAGGAGGAAGAGGGGGGTCCTCGACATGGATAGGAACCTCTTCCAGAGCTTTATCCAGGTCAAACTCCATCTCTGTTGGACAATCAAAGCAATCAAAGTCAAAAATCAAGACCCAACAGGTCAGAATCCAAGAGGCTGCATGCAAGTCCCAGTAGCTAAGCTTTCACTCGTTTATATGCAGCTATTTGTGGTAGGTATTTATGCACAAAGCGTGCCACACAAATTTTATGCACACCACACTCCATATTTATAACACAATGCCAAGAACAAAAGCGGACGAGCTCCCAGTTTGACCAAGAAAAATAATACATACATTAAAAAAATCAGAAAAATAACATTTATCAACCAGAAACTGTAAAAACTAAAAGGATTGTTGGAATTTAAACTTTTGAACAGTTCTTAAACCACTCATTTGTAACGTGCCATTCTCTCTGAAAACTTAATTACATCAAAGTTTTAAAATCATATTTAATCCGAATCACTTAAATCCACATCTCATTAGAAAATTAGCCAAAAATATAGCATTTGCACAAACCAGACTCCGTGAAAGAAAAAACTCTACGTCTGTCAGTGCAACTGTGAAGTCATTACTGACTCAGCTGTGACCAGCAGTCACATGATAAAAATTCAGGGATATTTCGGTTGAACTGCAGCCATGGTTGTGCTGTTTTCATAGTGGTGCAAGATTTTGCAGTGAAAAAGAGTCTACAGTGAGTCAAAATGTGCTACAAGCAAAATAAATGCCCAGAAACTCCTTGAAGTTCAGAGAGTTAAAAAGTGGACCACATAAGTGCATCATATCAAAGTAGGAATTTCTTAAATCTATAAAGACACTGAAAAATGATACGTCTCAGTCAGAGACATTGTAATTTAAATGTGACTACGTAATATGAACAGAAGTGTCAGATTCTTTTGGGTCACTCACCAAATGCCACAGAGACGGGTCGCAGCATCCTGACCAGAATACTCTTCCTCTTGGATTTAGGAGTCATCTGAAGAGCAAAAACTCCATTTTAGTAAACAGGCACTAAATTCTGTAAAGCATTCACTGCTATGATGATCACCTATACTTCTATGTTTTCTCAACATTTGTATCACATCGTCCATATTTGTGTTTTCCTACAGTGCAGGAGTCCATATCCTCCAAACTGTGTTTCCGGTCCAGTTTCTGATCCTGGTCGTGGTTCTCTGGCTGCAGAACTGTCTCATCCAGGACCTCCGTCTCCATCTGGGGCTCCTGACGCACCAGAGGTTGATCCTTCCTGATCAGGTGGTCAGCCTGAAGACAGATGGAGGAAGGATGTAGGGATGAACAACCAGAAAGACAGGCAAACAACAAAGACAGACGGACAGAGAGGACACTAACCAGAGTGTGCTGTGATCCGGACAGAGACTCCAGGATCTCGTCAGCGATGCGATCAGACAGAAACGATGCAATGCTGAGTTTCACTTCACTGTTTCACACGGAAATAACAAAACACATAAATATGATCCAACACAGAGCCACATCTGACCAACATGACTGTTACAGAGTTGCAAATCCACTGCAGAGAAAACTGCAGGATGAAACCTGACTTCACTGTCCGCTCAGGGTCAGGAGCCCATTTCATAAAGGCCTCCACTTTTACGAAGACTGGAAATAGTGGCAGCATGAGAGAACAAATAACTGCTGCAGAGGGAGGATTGCTTCCGTGTCCACTATATCTGTA